GCTGAAAATGGTCATAAAAGTTTGGCCAGCAAAAAGAAATGAAATGCTAGAAAATTAAAGGTTAGTTTGTAATATTTTTAGGAAATAAAATTACTCAAAAGTCACTAATAATAAACCGCTATGAATTTAGTAAAGTGGAGTTTTGTAAAATGCAGAATGAACCAAAAATAAATGAGAATTTGTAGAATGAGAAATACTGAAAAGCTGCAAACACACTTTTTCTGCACTTTCCTTTTCTTTTAGTAAGCTTTGGTGGGAAAAAAGTAAGGAGAGTACACCAGAATGGATGTGTTTGTAAGCTTTGAACGCAAAGTACATTCATAGCGTCTGATCCAGCGACTTTTGTAAGCAGTAAAACTTCAAAACATAGCAAGACACACTGCTTCGAACTTTAACTTCGGAAAAACTCTACCGAAGTTGACTGTGTTGTTACTGTGGCTGCTCATCTCCCACACCCCCTCAATCCCCTTTTATTTGGCCCCGAGATTTGCATAAGTGTCGACTTTTGCCGTATTTTCATAAGTGAACGCACTCGGAAACCGGTTCATTTTACATTTCCCTCACTTGGAATACCCGTTTCAAAGCGGTTTTCCTTTTTGACAGTCAATCTACAAGTTTTTTGAGAGTTGAACTCAACTTTAACAGGAAGCTAACAAAAAAAGTGAAAGCAATTTAAACCAGGAATTTCAAATCCTAAGAAAATCAAGAGACTCTTGATTTCCTTTAGTCGGATCTCTCATAGATCGCACTCATAGACTAATTCAGCTCTAGTTCGAATTTGTAGACTCAATAAAATGAAAAGTTTTAATCGACTTCCCGACCCTGAAAACCCCCGGGTTTAAGTTTACAGCTGAATATCTTCTTTTTATGTCATCTACAAAACAAAAGGAAAATCCCTATATAAAAGGGTGTTGAGGTGTGCTTTGTACGCGCGCACAATCGCCCGTCGTCTGGCAAATCCATCCGGTATAGAGTGCTTTCTTTCAGAACCCTAGAGGTCGAAAGACCGATGAGCGAGCTGTCGTTCGTTTTGCCTAGGTCCAAATGCTTGGGATCAATCTTTACCTTGAATCTTGCTGTATTTTTGCTACAAGTTCGACATGCTGCTAAACCAAAACTAACGAAATAATCAAGGTTGAAACTGTTTTTTTAAAAGGCCCAGATTTTTTCAAACACCGGGATTTCCGAGAAGAACCTATTTTTCTGATAAAAAATACGAACTTTAAACTTATGGACCTAATAAAAGCTATAAATCTTGTTTTTAGCAATCAATTTTCTCACTTTCCGGTTATTTAATGTTCCCCTTTTTGATCTCGTTTGTGTGGGTGCGAATAGGGCTAAATTATGGTATTCTAAATCGAATCTAGTATACTTTATCAATCACTCAATTTAAAGTTGAATGTTTAAAGCTTATCAACTACAAGGTTTACTTGGTTACGGCCACGTTTATTGCGGGTGGAATTACAACATTTCTTCAGAGTACTTTTGGGCTGAGGTGAGCAGTGAAATAATATTCCATTTTCTTGTTTCAGACTAGCAATATCAGACTCACTATGCCCAAATCCAAACCCAATTTTGCCTTTAATTTGGCTGTATTTTTGGTACAAATTCCACATCCTCGAGAAAACACAACCTCTGTTTTCCCAGTGTTAAACAAGCAGCCAAACTGAGAGAACAGTTCGATTTGACTTGATTGCCCTGTCCCTTGATTTTCTTAGAATTGTCTGGTTCAAACAAATTCGTTTTCATATCATTCGAAAGAAGTGTCCTCTATTAAACTATAACTATAGAAAGCTAAGAATAATATTATCTCTAAACAAATTTATGAATTTTCAATTTCAAACGCGATGACTCGTTCAAAAACTCGTAATGGAGAAGAGCCAAAATCCAAAGGTTTTTTGATTCATTTTTGTAAGCTCAAGTACAATTCGAAGATTATTCTCCGAAAATTTCGAAACTCTCCGATCTTTGACTTATTTCTTTTCAACTTATCGCTTGTTCTTTTGAGCCTTTTTTTCAAGACCGTGAAAATTTCCTTTTCTTTTTCTTCTTTGATTTATTTTGTTGTCTGGGTTCTTTTTTGGTTTCTGTGTTCTTTTTCCTTCAATTTCTCTTTTAGCCCAAAACACACAACTTTTCTGCTTGACTACAAGTGTGCAAAATTGCACAGCCATTCAATTATTTAAAATATAGATGAAAGGCTGACATATTTATACAATTTACACTGAGATTATTGAATTTTGTCGAAAATGCCTCTCTCATGGTTGAAATGTTGTCGACGAGGGGAGAATGAGGATGAGGAAACGCTCATTTAACAACAGTTTGTTACTTTGGGCTTCTTTTTGCTTACAATCAATTTTCTTTTGTCGATTGACTTTTCAAATTTTCAAAACAATTACACTTTAGCAAGGGTTTCAAAATTTTTCTCAACTAATTTCGTTTTCAAGTCAAATGCAACTTCTATAAACTTCGAAACAAGTTGATTGTTAGCAAAAGCTTTTCGCATTTAATTCTTATTTTGACAAAATACATTCTTGGCATTATTAATGACTACAAAATGGTAATGGAATAAAAATATTCATATTTTATCTAAACTAAGTTCTCAAGAGTCCAGATTCAATCCAATTTAGCACTCAATTCCCAGACGATCTCCCCGAGAAACGAGCTACTTTATGGCAATTTGTTCGTTTTTTCTATCAATAAGGTAACAATTCAAATCTAGTTTCGTTTTGCTTCATGTTTCGATTGTTTTTTGGAATGCTAGCCGCATTGATCTCCGGATTGGTTTACCCGTTAATGTCCACGATTTTGGCGTTGGTTCTGTTTTCCTTGCGACTCATGAAATTAAGTTTGAACCAAAGCAAAACAAAATTTATAGTCTCAGCCTAGTTGTGGGGTGTAACAGGAAAGTACACAAAAAGAATTGCAACTCACAATTTTTATGAGTTGAACATTTAATTTCAAATTTTGCAGACGGGTCTCCCAAGCGTTCATCACCTACGACTCTCAAAGAAGTGAGTGCCTTTGAGCTTAAAAATTTCCTATTAAAATTTGATTTGTGAAGTTTGGGGTAGGTAAAGCCAGATTTAAACTAAAAAACTAACTAAAACAATCAAGAATTTGCTAAACGAACTTTAGAAAACAGTGCAATCACCCCCGAGGATCTCGCAAAAGCAAAAGAGCTTCTAAACACTGAAATTATTGCTTGTTGTTGGAATTTTCTCTATTTTGGAATCGTGTATTGCATTCTATCATTTATACAGGTTTTGATCAAGCTCAGCAAAAAAATTGTTACAATTTTCAGACAAGCGGTTGCATGTACGCTTGTGAGACAATTTGTCAGCGGATACGGAAGAAATTTTTCTTGGTAAATTTGGAGAAATTTTCCTCGAGCAAAGAAGGTTTAGTCGATTTTGAATCACAAAATCGAGTGGTTCGACAAGAACTCATCGGGATCGTTGTGCTCGAATATGTTTGAGTGAGTGGCTTTTTCAAAAACCAGCTACAAATTAAGAGTTTAAGTTCCCTAGAACGACTCAAAGAAGGTTTTGGTAATAAATTTGGTGACGGGCTGCACAACTTTGGTGTGTTCGCCTCGGGAATGTTTATAGGTAAAAATTTGTGGCAAGACTTTGTAGACAGATATACAGATAAACTGTTTTATCCTGTAGATACAGGTAGCTATGTGGCAGATAACTACAATAACTTTGTACAGTTTCAGGTACAATGTACAAGGTAACTTGTTAAAAAGCCTAAAAAAAACATAAACGCCTAATCAAGTTTTGTAATTTTGAAGATTCACCGAGCAAGAAAGGTGTACCAAAAAGTTCTTGTTTTAACACTAGTCTATGTGTGTTTGGAATAAGACCTTCAATCTTTTACACTTTATCTGACAAACTTCGGCTAACCAACCACAATTTATCCGTTATTTGTACTTTTACTTCAACCCAACTGGTTACTTGCACGAATTCAATAACGGGGCTAAAATGCGGAAGAATTCGAGCAAAATGGACCAAGATTTGTCCGAAATAGGATGAAAGCAACAACTGATTTAACTTTTATTTAACACTGATTTACCAGTAAGGAAATGAACCAATTTAAACAATATATAACAAGATTGGGGGAGAAAAAGGTATTCAGGTGTGACAACAATTGAACGGAATTAGTACTTTTCCATAGTCGTTTCACGTTTTCTTAATTTGGAACTAATTTTGGATGTAAATTTGTAATTTTGAATGCAAATTGCAGCGGCGGTGCTAAATATTTAGCACAAAGGGTATGACTTGAAAACTGTCTCCAGGAGTTCAATGTTTCCAGAGTTTCATCAAGAAGAAATAAAACTAGCAATAAGTACCATTTTCAAATTATGCTTTGACTTTCTAAGCTTACATGAAATTTGATCCCAGTGATCTATTCAGAAACTTACCTTTAAACGGAAGTTTATTTTTTCAGGGTTTTACTACGATTGGCAAATAGCTGCCATCATGACGGCCACATCACCGTTTATCGTCATCTCGGGAATCGTCGTTTTTAATAAAGTAGGAAAGGAGAATGGAATCATCGCTAAGTACGCAAGTATATTAATATTTACAGATGATCGGTGACACGGCCGTTGATTCAGCAAAACGCTACGCAAAGGCGGGAAAAGTAGCTGAAGAGGTTTAAAAAGCAGATTTTAATTACTATATCGAAACTTTAGGCTTTAAGCTCTGTTCGAACTGTTTTATCCTTCAATGGTCAAGAGCACGAGTGCAAAAAGTGAGTGAGTTTTGGGAATAAAAGTCATTGATCTAGATACGAGATGGCGTTGAAAGAAGGCAGTCGGCGGGAGATTCGAAAATCGAGTAAATACTGTTAGAAAAATCTCAAAGAAAATTTCAATTTCAGCATTTATCGGCTTTGGCACGACACTCACCTATTGCGCTTTTGATATGATGTGGTGTGTGGCGTTTTGGGTGGGGACAGATTATGTATACTGGGGATTGACATCGGCTCAAACGATGATTACGGTAAGTGGTTGCATGGATTAAGAAAGAGTTCAATGATCAAAAAACTAGTAAAGAAGCTACCTTTACAAATAGAATGAAACCAAATTGGCTTTAAAGCACAATGATAAATGTGTTTCAATAAGGCTAAACAAGGCAAAACAGAAGGCAAGCTTGTTAGCTGTTTTTTTTAATTGTTTTATAAATCAGATTGTAAGCAATTTAAAAGCGAATACCAAAATTTGTTTTTTTATGTACTATTTTCCTGTTAGGTAATCATGGCAATCAAATACGGTTCTTTCGCTTTCGGGTACGCTCTCCCCGATGTGGCGGTGGTGTCGAGCGCGCTCGGGCAAGGCGGTCGAATCATGGAGATTATCGATACGGTATAAAACTCAAATTACAAGTAGAGTTTGCGTAACCTGTGCTTCTAATCGAGCGCAATTTTGTACAAAAACTATAGTACACACAAAGAACCCGTTTGCTAGGGAAGGCCAAAACTAAATGAAAATCCAAAAGCCAAGTCAAGCTTGAATCAGAACTATGACTTTCCCTGGCCTTGGCTTGGCCGTTGCTTAAGTTTTTTAGAAGCGCAACTGAGTATAATAATGGTTCACAACTGAATCTCAAAATCTACAGTATCCTGAGGGTTCTAGGTTGAACCTGAAGACGATGAAACTGCTCAGAAACCGTATGTCGAGGGGAAAATCCGAGTTGAAAACGTTCATTTCAACTACCCTAGTCGGCCAGATGTCCCAATTTTGAAGGTATAATACAAAGCTTTTTTAATATTCGGAGCCGATTCGGGAACTTCAAACTGTTCATCTCTTTTCTATGAGATCCCTGAATCATTTGATTGTTTAGTATATCAATAATGTATTCTGAAATGTACGATATAAAAGCGTTCTCAAAACAGACTATATTGATGAATTTTAGCCTTTTCGAAAACTTGGAACATTTAAAACAAAACAAAAAGTTTTTTGAACAACCTCAACAAACCTATATCCAGGGTCTTTCATTCGAGTGTCAACCTGGGGAAACGGTCGCTTTGGTTGGTGCGTCTGGGTCAGGAAAATCGACGATCATCAATCTTTTGCTCAGATTCTACGATATCGAAACTGGATCGGCAATTTTAATGCAAAATAGTCAGAACAAGGAAATCAAGAATCAGAAATGGTAAATACATCAAATATTTTACAGATTGTACTCGATGACATACCACTTGAAGACTTCAATGTAAATCATTTGAGGAAAATTGTCGGTGTCGTGAGTCAAGAGCCGGTTCTTTTCAATAACACAATACTTGAGGTGAGATTTTGGACTGATTTTGAATATGAACAAGTGAATTAACTTTGAAATAAAGATCAACTTTAGAATCTTCGCTTTGGAAACGCTAACGCAAGTGACCGAGAAGTGCACGTGGCTCTGAAGAAAGCAAATGCTTTGGGTTTCATCGCCGAGTTTCCCGATGTAAGTCTTGTAAATCAAAGTTTAATATGATTCTTATCTTAATCTTAAACTTAAACCTCTTGGGTTACCTGAAAGATCTTGTAAATCAAAGTTTAATATGATTCTTATCTTAATCTTAAACTTAAACCTCTTGGGTTACCAGATTAAATTTAATAATTATTAATTATAACCTTTGTTACCTGAAAGCTGTGCTACAGCAGGTCAAGGGATATTTTGAATCTGTAAGTGACCTCCAAATAAGTTAGGGCTAAATTGAACATGATTTTGCCAGACAAAGCTTGGCCAGACCCAGCTAAGTCAGAGACTTGTCTTGGTTTTATATTAGTCTTGACTTGACTTGACTTCAGAATTTAGTCAGGCTGGTTGTAAGCTTTTACTATGATTAGATTAGACCTAGCCCAAAATAACCTTCGGAACAGCTTTGATTGGGTCTGCCATCAACAAGTTTTCTTCAAGGTTTAAACACTCTTGTTGGTGATCGTGGCACTCAATGCCTGGCGGACAAAAAAACGAATCGCTATTGCGAGAGCCCTTCTCAGAAGATCCGCGAATTCTTTCTTCATGAAGCAAACTTCGGCATTGGATGCGGAAAGTGAAGGGAGTTATGCAACAAGTATTGGAGAATGTGAGAAAAAGGAAGACTTCTTTGAGCGGAATTGATTTGTACAAAGCACTCTTCTCTCAAATTCTTGACAATCAATTTTCAGGCAAGTCGTGGTCGAACAACGATTGTGATCGCTCATCGACTCTCGACAATCAAAAATGCTGATAAAATTCTTGTGATAAGCAATGGGGAAGGTTTTAGGAACATACTAAAAATATTATTCTTGAAAATTAGTTGCTGTGAAACCGGGAAACACGACGAACTCTAAAAAACGAGGACACTACTTTGATCTAGTGAATGCTCAAGTCTTTGCTGATGCCGAGCTACATAAAGGTAAGCGGAGTGCTTCGAAGCAAAGATATCCAGCTTCAAAACTCAAAAATTGACTGGGCTAAGTGGAAAGATATCCTTCAGACTTAACGACATTTAGATCAACCAGCTTATACTTCGTGACAGAGAAGTCAACGCACAACATTAGCTGATTCATTTGAAGAAATCGATTCACAACAAAAATCGGAACAAGAAGAAGACGAGGAATCGGAAATGGAAAGACTGAAGAGAGGTTTGAATTAAAAATGCATTTAGTAATTAACTAAATAAATTGAATGCATAGCTACATTGTTCAGAGATTAAGAAGAAGGAATCCCCTCAGTGGGACTCCACAAAAATTCTCAGTTAGGTGGAACCTGAATGGAACTTTTGGTGCTGGCGCTGGTTCTCTGCATGCTGCTGAGGTCTCACCTTGTTTTCAAAAGGAAATTTCTTAACTTTCGGGGAATTGCTTATCCGATCTATGGACTCTTCTACACAAAGGCTTTTGAGGTAAGGTTTTGAGGGCAATGTTATCTAGCATGATAAAGTTTATACCAGATTAGGTAGGTAAAGTTTTTCGAAAGAGAACACCACTTTGGTTTATTTTTTGTACAAATATTATGTGTTAGGTTCATTTTAAACATTCTAACTCTTGATTTGATAAACCCAGAGAAATCGAGAGTGAAATGAAAGGTAGGATTGCAGTTTGTGATAATGATCATCAATTTTTACCCGACAACACTACAACGTGCTTAAAGTACCATAGCCAACTTATCGAAGCACTAAAGCGTGCTGGGCAAGTTGTCGTATGGTGTTGCAAAAAAATAGCAAAAATGTAAAACGCAAGCTAACGCATGCCTGATTCGGAAAGGTAGCTAGTTTTTAACACGGCTGGTTTTAGTTTAGAAAATGACAGTTCATAATACTTTGGAAATTGGTTTTACTTATCTAAAAATAGATTAGAAACAAAAAGGAGAAAATCAGAAAGAAAAATCCTTTTAGATTTTCTCCGAGAACGATCGCGAAAAGATGCGACACTCTGGCCACATAGCCGCTTTGTGTTTCTTGCTGATGATGATCATCGATTTGACGATTCCGTCTGGATGTGTTAGTTTTATATTTTTTACACAAATACATGAGCTGGTTCAATCTATAGCTTGTTCTTTAGTCGATCTACTTCGGCAAGGCTGCGTGAGGTGATCGTGAGAGGCTCAGACTGAATGTAGGTTGAAGAACTGGTGTAAAAGGCATTAAAAATTTCTTTTAAAATTCTTTTCTTCTAATTTCTTTTCTAAAATTTCTTACTGTTAGACATTTCGCAACGTGCTCAGCCAGGATGGGACCTACTTTGACTCGTCAAAGCACTGTTCTCGCGAAAGTGGCCACACGTTTGGCCACAGATACGCCAAATATTCGACAAGTTAGTTTCAAAAATCTGGATGCTATCTAATGGCTTATTTACAATTAAGATTCTAATTTAATTTAAAAGTTTAGGCAATAGGACGCCAAGCTCGGCTATGTTCTTACGCGGTTTTGTCGACCTTCGAGCTGCGTTGTGGCGCTTCGATTTATTTCTCCCGGCAAATGACAATTCTAAGTAAGACTTTACCAAAAAACTAGATGCTATTTGCAAATAATATTCTAATTTAATTTGCATTTTAAAGTTTCAAAAAGTATTTAATTGACGAAATTGATCAAAACTTCAATCAAAATACAACATTCAGTGTTGATTGCTGCGCCAATTTTGACCGGTATCGATTTCATCTGGGAGCTGAGTCTTGGATAATTGTTTCGATCGAGAATTTGAGATCGATGGAAGCAAGTGGAAAGTTCGTTAAAATGTTAAATTTATTTAAATCTAAAAGTGGCATTATTTGATTTTTACCGTCAAATTATCGATCGAGTTACTGCCAAATCGAAATCACAGCTTGATTGAATATTCTTCTACATCTTTCTAGTCGATTTTTTATTTTCCACCATCCAGGATCCCCTTCTCTATTCTGAACCTAAATTTGGACTCTCAGGTAGCAATTGAGTCAGCTGAGTGCCTTCGAACCGTGCACGCCCTTGTTCTCGAGAAGTGATGCAAAGGTGATGCACGAGAAGTACTGTGGTCTACCCGAGCGCCCATTCAAAACGAACAAGAAGAAGGCGATAGCTCAGGTGATTATTAGTAAATTAATTGTAAGAAATAGACTAAAACGAATCGCCATATAAAAATTTACGGTAAAACATCAAATGAGAAGAGTTTTTGAAACAAAAGCTAACACTTGTGACTGTTTTTGGTTTCAATTTTGTGTTGAGTTTGAGATGAACAAGCGCTGAAATTTCAGAGATGAACAGGTTTAAGCTAAATTCGAACACATTTCACATTCAGCTCAAATTTTATCTTGTAACTCCAGCTACAAGCTTTCTCACATTTTGCCACAGTGTAAACTCCAACGCAATACGCAAAGAGAAATTCATTATGCTTATGAACTTGTAAGTTTAGAGGTCCCACTAAAATATGAGAGTAAAAGTCTCTAAGTTCACAAACCAATTCCTTAAGCAATTTTGAATCCATTAAAGCGTTTGTCTGATCAAAAGTCTGAGCTTAAAACCAAGTTCAGGGCATGATAGATGGGATCATAAATTGTCTGCAGTCGATGATGGACGCTTTGGAGTTTCGTTTCTCTTCCTGGATGATCACCAAAGATTATGTCAAAAATCCATTTGATGCTTGGAGGTTACAAAATGGCATTTCAGCTGCACAGGTCAACTTAGGGCTCAATTTTGCCTCAATTCTCGCTGACGTATTCCCTGAATATAAGAAAGCAAAAGTCTTCGGGCCGGGTTGAAGTTCAAGATGATGAATGAGAAGGCAAAAATTGACAGTTTTGAGAAAGGGGAATTCTGGTAAAAGAAGTTGTTTATGGGATTGAAAATTTGAAAACAGGTGGTCAATGCAAAAATCGAGTTCGACAACGTTCGCTTCACCTATCCGAGAGACAAGAACAAGAGGTGTGTTATAAGGTAAATCATACAACAAAACTTGAAGAACAAATGCTTAGAGTCCCAAGATACACAGTCCATGTTGAATTGAGCTAGCAAGATACTGCAGCAAAGCAATATGCTTGACTTTACAGACAGTATCATTAAGTATCGCTGTGCATTTGACCTTGAATATCATATCGGACTTCAAAATTAGACCTAAGAAATTTCAAAACCATAAAGTTAATAGTTTGAAAAGAAAATAAAATAGCCTCAAGTAAGTAGCCCTACTCGTAGTCTCCATCAGGCTGGATAGATATGTAAGCTCTAGTTGCCTTTCCGGGTGTCCAGGTGGAGTAAGCTTCTCGATTGAACCTGGCCAAACGGTGGCTGTTGTTGGTCTATCGGGTTGCGGGAAGAGTACACTTGTGAGTCTCCTCCAGAGATACCTACGATGTCACGATGTTCCGTGGTTGGTTTAAAATTTCTATGGACTTCAAAACATTTTAAACTATTATTTTATCTAAGATTGATAGTCAGTTATAAAAATTAAAATTTCAAATTACCTGCTTTCAGTTAACCATTGAAACTGGATATTCCACAAAACTATCTTTGATATGTGAAAATTCATTATCTCCCAAAATTTGTTCCCAAAATTCCCAAATCTTGGTTCTAGAAATCTGGGTTCAAATCTTGTAGAAATTGTGTAGCTATAGCAAACATCAAGGTTTAACCTTTTAAAGTCCCTTTAGAATAGGTTTTTATGACAAAGATTTTACTGATTCATGGGAGCTTTCGATGTGCGAGCCTGCTTGTCGTTGCAAAAGAGCCAATGTTCTGATGACACACAATAAAAGTAGATAAGCTGTAAAAGTATTCAAATCAGATTATAGAACAATTGACGGACGGATTGGGACTTCATTATTGACCTCTGAAGATGTTTTTTTTTTTTTTTTTTTAAAAAAAAAACAATTGATCATTTTGCTCCCGTGAGGATATCAGACAACAGTTGGAGAGAAGGAACTCAAAAAATAGGAGGTGATAATATGGAACTTTTCTTAAAACAGCGAGTGGCCACGTTGGGGGTGCTTTGGTGAGAAATCCAAAGATTTGATTCTTGATGAGGCGACGAAAGCTTGGGTATACAGAGAGTGATGTGCTTCACCCTCAAAGAGGAGCAACATTTAACTGAACTGCTTTTTACACTGATGATTTACGTATTGCTCCTCTTTGAGGAATGCAAACTTTTTTCACTCTCTGTATACAAAGCACTCGTCGCCTCATCAAGAATCAAAATCTTCGGATTTCTCACCAAAGCCCTGGCAATGGCCACTCGCTGTTTTTGACCTATAACTAAGCATTTTTAGAAAAGTTCTATATTATCACCTCCAGTAGCGCTAATTATCCTTCTTCCAACTGTTGCCTGATATCCTAAAGGAAGCGAGGTGATGAATTGATGGATGTTCGCTTTCCGAGCTGCATCGAAAATTGCATCTTCAGAGGTCAATAATGCGTCCAATCCGTAATCCGTCCAATTGTTCTATAATCTGATTTGAATACTTTTTACAGCTTTATCTACTTTTATTGTGTCATCGAAAAGCATTGGCTCTTTTGCAACGACAGAAACTTGAGCTCGCACATCGGCGGCTCCCATGAATCGTAAATCTTTGTCATCGATTTTCTAAAGGGACTTGTAAAAAGTTAAACTTGATGTTTTGCTATAGCTACACAATTTCTACAAGATTTGAACCCAGATTTCTAGAACCAAGATTTGGGAATTTTGGGAACAAATTTTGGGAGATAATGAATTTTCACATATCAAAGATAGTTTTGTGGAATATCCAGTTTCAATGGTTAACTGAAAGCAGGTAATTGAAATTTTTAATTTTTATAACTGACTATCAATCTTAGATAAAATAATAGTTTAAAATGTTTTGAAGTCCATAGAAATTTTAAACCAACCACGGACATCGTGACATCGTAGAATCTCTGGAGGAGACTCACAAGTGTACTCTTCCCGCAACCCGATAGACCAACAACAGCCACCGTTTGGCCAGGTTCAATCGAGAAGCTTACTCCTGGACACCCGGAAAGGCAACTAGAGCTCACTATCTATCAGCCTGATGAAGACTACAGTAAGACTACTTACTTGAGCTATTTTATTTTCTTTTCAAACTATTCTTTATGGTTTTGAAATTTCTTAGGTCTAATTTTGAAGTCCGATATGATATTCAAGGTCAAATGCACAGCGATACTTAATGATACTGTATGTAAAGTCCAGCATATTGCTTTGCTACAGTATCTTGCTAACTCAATTAACATAGACTGAATATCTTGACTCTAAGCATTTGTTCTTCAATTTTTTGTTTTATGATTTACCTTTTAACACCTCTTGTTCTTGTCTCTCCGGATAGGTGAAACGAACGTTGTCGAACTCGATTTTTGCATTGACCACCTGTTTTCAAATTTTTCAATCCTATAAACAACTTCTTTTACCAGAATTCCCCTTTTCTCAAAACTGTCAATTTTTGCCTTCTCATTCATCATCTTGAACAGCAACCCGGCTGAATATTTTGCTTTCTTATATTCAGGGAAATACGTGGCTTGAGAATTCGAGGCAAAATTGAGCCCTAGAGTTATATTTTTAGCTGAAATGCCATTTTGTAACCTCCAAGCATCAAATGGATTTTTGACATAATCTTTGGTGATCATCCAGGAAGAGAAACGAAACTCCAAAGCGTCCATCATCGACTGCAGACAATTTATGATCCCATCTATCATGCCCTGAACTTGGTTTTAAGCAGACTTTTGATCAGACAAACGCTTTAATGGATTCAAATTGCTTAAGGAATTGGTTTGAACTTAAAGACTTTTGCCTCATATTTTAGTGGGACCTCTAAACTTACAAGTTCATAAACATGAACCAGATTTCTCTTTGCGTATTGCGTTTGCGTTTGCACTGTGGCAAAATGTGAAAGCTTTTGTAAGCTAGAGTTACAAGATAAAATTTGAGCTGAATGTGAAATGTGTTCGAATTTAGCTTAAACCTGTTCATCTCTGAAATTTCAGCGCTTGTTCATCTCAAACTCAACACAAAATTGAAACCAAAAACAGTCACAAGTGTTAGCTTTTGTTTCAAAAACTCTTCTCATTTGATGTTTTACCGTAAATTTTTATATGGCGATTCGTTTTAGTCTATTTCTTACAATTAATTTACTAATAATCACCTGAGCTATCGCCTTCTTCTTGTTCGTTTTGAATGGGCGCTCGATTAGACCACAGTACTTCTCGTGCATCACCTTTGCATCACTTCTCGAGACAAGGCGTGCACGGTTCGAAGGCACTCAACTGACTCAATTGCTACCTGAAAGTCAAATTTAGGTTCAGAATAGAAAGGGATTATGGTGGAAAATTAAAAAATCACTAGAAAGATGTAGTAAGTTGAATGATAAAATCAATCAAGCTGTGATTTCGAGTTGGCAGTAACTCGATCGATACTTTATCGGTAAAAATCAAACAAATGCCACTTTTAGATTTAAATAAATTTAACATTTTAACGAACTTTTCCACTTGCTTCCATCAGTCTCAAATCCTCGATCGAAACATTGTCAAAGACTCGCTCCCAGATGAAATCGATACCGGTCAAAATTGGCACAACAATCAACACTGAATGTTGTATTTTATTGAGGATTTTGATCAATTTTGTCAATTAAATACTTTTTGAAACTTTAAAATGCAAATTAAATTAGAATATTATTTGCAAATAGCATCTAGTTTTTTGGTAAAGTCTTACTTAGAATTGTCATTTGCCAGGAGAAATAAATCGAAGCCGCCAACGCAGCTCCAAGTGCGACAAAACCGCGTAGAACATAGCCGAGCTTGGCGTCTATTGCCTAAACTTTTAAATTAAATTACGAATCTTTAATTGTAAATAAGCCATTAGATAGCATCCGTTTTTGAAACCAACTTGTCGAATAATATGTATCTGTGGCCAAACGTGTGGCCACTTTCCCGGGCGAGTGCTTTGACGAGTCAAAGTAGGTCCCATCCTGGCTGAGCACGTTGCGAAATGTCTAACAGTAAGAAATTTTAGAAAAGAAATTAGAAGAAAAGAATTTTAAAAGAAATTTTTAATGCCTTTTACACCAGTTCTTCAACCTACATTCAGTCTGAGCCTCTCGGTCACCCCGCACGCAGCCTTGCCGAAGTAGATCGACTAAAGAACAAGCTATAGATTGAACAGCTCATGTATTTGTGTAAAAAATATAAAACTAACACATCCAGACGGAATCGTCAAATCGATGATCATCATCAGCAAGAAACACAAAGCGGCTATGGCTCATGAGTGTCGTATCTTCCGCGATCGTTCTCGGAGAAAATCTAAAAGGGATTTTCTTTCTGATTTTACTCATATTGTTTCTAGTCTATTTTAGATAAGTAAAACCAATTTCCAAAAAGTATTGCACTTCAGAAAGCTGTCATTTTCTAAACTAAAACCAGCCGTGTTAAAACTAGCTACCTTTTTCCGAATCAGGCATGCGTTAGCTTGCGTTTTTGCATTTTTTGCTATTTTTTTTGCAACACCATACGATAACTTTAGCACGCTTTAGTGCTTCGATAAGTTGGCTATGGTACTTTAAGCACGTTGTAGTGTTGTCGGGTAAAAATTGATGATCATTATCACAAACTGCAATCCTACCTTTCATTTCACTCTCGATTTCTCTGGGTTTATCAAATCAAGAGTTAGAATGTTTAAAATGAACCTAACACATAATATTTGTACAAAAAATAAACCAAAGTGGTGTTCTCTTTCGAAAAACTTTACCTACCTAATCTGGTATAAACTTTATCATGCTAGATAACATTGCCCTCAAAACCTTACCTCAAAAGCCTTTGTGTAGAAGAGTCCATAGATCGATAAGCAATTCCCCGAAAGTTAAATTTCCTTTTGAAAACAAAGCGTCAGACCTCAACCATGCAGAGAACCAGCGCCAGCACCAAAAAGTTCCATTCAGGTTCCACATAACTGAGAATTTTGTGGAGTCCCACTGAGGGGATTCCTTCTTCTTGAATCTCTGAACAATGTAGCTAATTTTAATACAACTTTATTTAGTTATTATAATCATTTTTTAATTCAAACCTCTCTTCAGTCTTTCCATTTCCGATTCCTCGTCTTCTTCTTGTTCCGATTTTTGTTGTGAATCGATTTCTTCAAATGAATCAGTTAATGTTGTGCGGTGACTTCTCTGTCGCAAATAAGCTGGTTGATCTAAATGTCGTTAAGTCTGAAGGATATCTTTCCAATAGTAAGCCCAAGTCAAATGTTTTTGAGTTTTGAAACTGGATATCTTTGCTTTGAAGCACTCCGCTTACCTTTATGTGTCTCAACATCAGCAAAGACTTGAGCATTCACTAGATCAAAGTAGTGTCCTCGTTTTTTTAGAAAGTTCGGCGTGTTTCCCGGTTTCAACAACTAAATTTTCAAGCAATAATATTTTAGTATGTTCCTAAAACCTTCCCCATTGCTTATCACAAGAATTTTATCAGCATTTTTGATTGTCGAGAGTCGATGAGCGATCACAATCGTTGTTCGGCCACGACTTGCCTGAAAATTGATTGTCAAGAATTTGAGAAAAGAGTGCTTTGTACAAATCACAGTTCCACTCAAAGAGTCTTCCTTTTTCTCACATTCTCCAATGCTTGTTGCACAACTCCTTCACTTTCCGCATCCAATGCCGAAGTTGCTTCATCCAAAAGAAGAATTCGCGGATCTCTGAGAAGGGCTCTCGCAATAGCGATTCGTTGTTTTTGTCCACCAGATATTTGAGTGCCACGATCACCAACAAGAGTGTTTAAACCCTGAAGAAAACTTGTTGATGGCAGACCCAATCAAAGCTGTTCCGAAGGTTATTTTGGGCTAGGTCTAATCTAATCATAGTAAAAGCTTACAACCAGCCTGACTAAATTCTGAAGTCAAGTCAAGTCAAGACTAATAGAAAACCAAGACAAGTCTCTGACTTAGCTGGGTCTGGCCAAGCTTTGTCTGGCAAAATCTTGTTCAATTTAGCCCTAACTTGTACGGAGTCCTTACAAATTCAAAATATCACTTGACCTGCTGTCTTACAGCTTTCAGGTAACCCAAGAGGTTTAAGTTTAAGATTAAGATAGAATCAGAGCACCCTTTTGATTTAGATCCTTATAACCAGAGTTTAGTTTCTAAGATTAAGATAAGAATCATATTAAACTTTGATTTACAAGATCTTTCAGGTAACCCAAGAGGTTTAAGTTTAAGATTAAGATAAGAATCATATTAAACTTTGATTTACAAGACTTACATCGGGAAACTCGGCGATGAAACCCAAAGCATTTGCTTTCTTCAGAGCCACGTGCACTTCTCGGTCACTTGCGTTAGCGTTTCCAAAGCGAAGATTCTAAAGTTGATCTTTATTTCAAAGTTAATTCACTTGTTCATATTCAAAATCAGTCCAAAATCTCACCTCAAGTATTGTGTTATTGAAAAGAACCGGCTCTTGACTCACGACACCGACAATTTTCCTCAAATGATTTACATTGAAGTCTTCAAGTGGTATGTCATCGAGTACAATCTGTAAAATATTTGATGTATTTACCATTTCTGATTCTTGATTTCCTTGTTCTGACTATTTTGCATTAAAATTACCGATCCAGTTTCGATATCGTAGAATCTGAGCAAAAGATTGATGATCGTCGATTTTCCTGACCCAGACGCACCAACCAAAGCGACCGTTTCCCCAGGTTGACACTCGAATGAAAGACCCTGGATATAGGTTTGTTGAGGTTGTTCAAAAAACTTTTTGTTTTGTTTTAAATGTTCCAAGTTTTCGAAAAGGCTAAAATTCATCAAATATGATGTCTGTTTTGAGAATGCTTTTATATCGTACATTTCGAATACATTATTGATATACTAAACAATCAAATGATTCAGGGATCTCATAGAAAAGAGATGAACAGTTTGAAGTTCCCTGAATCGCGCTCCGAATATTAAAAGCCTTTGTATTGTATTTCAAATTGGGACATCTGGGCCGACCTCTAGGTGTAGTTCAAATGAACGTTTTCAACTCCGGATTTTCCCCTCGACATACGGTTTCTGAGCAGTTTCATCGATCTTCAGGTTCAACTGTAGGCTTTCTGAGGATACTGTAGGATTCTTTAGATTCAGTTGTGAACCATTATTATACTCAGTTCGCTTCTAAAAAATCCAAGCAACCCCGCCAAGCTAGCCAGGGAAAGTGCTAGTTCTGATTCACAGCCCGACTTGCGCTTTTGGATTTTCATTTAGTTTTGGCCTTCCCTAGCAAACGGGCTTGTCTGTACCCTCATGAGTTTTTAGCACAAATTGTGCTCGTGATGAGAAGCATTGGTTACGCAAACTCTACCCTGTAAATTGAGTTTATAGAAATGCATCGATCAATCTCCATGATTCGACCGCCTTGCCCGAGCGCCCTTCGGCACACCACCTGTACATCGTGATAAGAGCGTACCCGATAGCGAAAGAAACGTATTTGGATTGCCATGATTACCTAACAGGAAAATAATAGTACATGCAAAAACAGAATTTTCGTATTCGCTTTTGGGGGGAAATTCCTTTACAAATTGTTTGCTAAAACAATTAAAAACAGTCTATCAAGCTTGCCTTCTGTTTTTGCCTTGTTTAGCCTCTTATTGAAACACATTTATCATTGTGCCTTAAAGCAAATTTGGTTTCATTCTATTTGTAGTTAAGCCCCTTCCTTACTAGTTTTTTGATCATTAAACTCTTCTAATCCATGCAACCTAGTTACCGTAAATCATCGTTTGAGCCGATGTCAATCCCCATCTAGATATCTGTCCCATTCAAAACGCCACACACCACATCATATCAGAGCACAATAGGTGAGTGTTGCCAAAGCCGATAAATGCTGAAATTGAAAATTTTCTTTGAGATTTTTCTAACAGTATTTACTCGATTTTCGAATCTCCCGCCGACTGCCTTCTTTCAACGCCATCTCGTATCTAGATCAATGACTTTTATTCCCAAAACTCACTCACTTTTTGCACTCGTGCTCTTGACCATTGAAGGATAAAACAGTTCGAACAGAGCTTAAAGCCTAAAGTTTCGATATAGTAATTAAAATCTGCTTTTTAAACCTCTTCAGCTACTTTTCCCGCCTTTGCGTAGCGTTTTGCTGAATCAACGGCCGTGTCACCGATCATCTGTAAATATTAATATACTTGCGTACTTAGCGATGATTCCATTCTCCTTTCCTACTTTATTAAAAACGACGATTCCCGAGATGACGATAAACGGTGATGTGGGCCGTCATGATGGCAGCTATTTGCCAATCGTAGTAAAACCCTGAAAAAATAAACTTCCGTTTAAAGGTAAGTTTCTGAATAGATCACTGGGATCAAATTTCATGTAAGCTTAGAAAGTCAAAGCATAATTTGAAAATGGTACTTATTGCTAGTTTTATTTCTCTGATGAAACTCTGGAAATATTGAACTCCTGGAGACAGTTTTCAAGTCATACCCTTTGTGCTAAATATTTAGCACCGCCGCTGCAATTTGCATTCAAAATTACAAATTTACATCCAAAATTAGTTCCAAATTAAGAAAACGTGAAACGACTATGGAAAAGTACTAATTCCGTTCAATTGTTGTCACACCTGAATACCTTTTTCTCCCCCAATCTTGTTATATATTGTTTAAATTGGTTCATTTCCTTACTGGTAAATCAGTGTTAAATAAAAGTTAAATCAGTTGTTGCTTTCATCCTATTTCGGACAAATCTTGGTCCATTTTGCTCGAATTCTTCCGCATTTTAGTCCCGTTATTGAATTCGTGCAAGTAACCAGTTGGGTTGAAGTAAAAGTACAAATAACGGATAAATTGTGGTTGGTTAGCCGAAGTTTGTCAGATAAAGTGTAAAAGATTGAAGGTCTTATTCCAAACACACATAGACTAGTGTTAAAACAAGAACTTTACATCTCTCCCTTTCTTGCTTCGTGAATTTCTCAAAAATTACAAAACTTGATTAGGCGTTTATGTTTTTTTTAGGCTTTTTAACAAGTTACCTTGTACATTGTACCTGAAACTGTACAAAGTTATTGTAGTTATCTGCCACATAGCTACCTGTATCTACAGGATAAAACAGTTTATCTGTATATCTGTCTACAAAGTCTTGCCACAAATTTTTACCTATAAACATTCCCGAGGCGAACACACCAAAGTTGTGCAGCCCGTCACCAAATTTATTACCAAAACCTTCTTTGAGTCGTTCTAGGGAACTTAAACTCTTAATTTGTAGCTGGTTTTTGAAAAAGCCACTCACTCAAACATATTCGAGCACACCCGATCCCGATGAGTTCTGTCCGAACCACTCGATTTTGTGATTCAAAATCGACTAAACCTTTCTTTGCTCGAGGAAAATTTCTCCAAATTTACCAAGAAAAATTTCTTCCGTATCCGCTGACAAATTGTCTCACAAGCGTACATGCGTCCGGCTTGTCTGAAAATTGTAACAATTTTTTTGCTGAGCTTGATCAAAACCTGTATAAATGATAGAATGCAATACACGATTCCAAAATAGAGAAAATTCCAACAACAAGCAATAATTTCAGTGTTTAGAAGCTCTTTTGCTTCTTTTGCGAGATCCTCGGGGGTGTTACTGCACTGTTTTCTAAAAGTTCGTTTAGCAAATTTCCTGATTGTTTTAGTTAGTCTTTTTAGCTTAAAATCTGGCTTTTTACTCTACCCCAAACTTCACAAATCAAATTCTTAATAGGAAATTTTTAAGCTCAAAGGCACTCACTTCTTTGAGAGTCGTAGGTGATGAACGCTTGGGAGACCCGTCTGCAAAATTTGAAATTAAATGTTCAACCTCATAAAAAAATTGTGAGTTGCAATTCTTTTGTGTACTTTCCCTGTTACACCCCCACAACTAGGCTGAGAATTATAAATTTTGTTTTGCTTTTGGTTCAAACTTAATTTCATGAGTCGCAAGGAAAACAGAACCAACGCCAAAATCGTGGACATTAACGGGTAAACCAATCCGGGAGATCAATGCGGCTAGCATTCCAAAACACCGAAACATGAAGCAAAACGAAACTAGATTTGAATTGTTACCTTACGCTGATAGAAAAAACGAACAAATTGCCATGGAGTCCGCAGCTCGCTGTTTCTCGGGGGAGATCGTCTGGGAATTGAGTGCCAAATTCGTGGATTGAATCTGGACTCTTGAGAACATAGTTTAGATAAAATATGAATATTTTTATTCCATTACCATTTTGTAGTCATTAATAATGCCAAGAATATTTTCTTGGTCAAAATAAGAATTAAATGCGAAAAAGCTTTTGCTAACAAATCAACTTGTTTCGAAGTTTATAGAAGTTGCATTTGACTTGAAAACGAAATTGGTTGAGAAAAATTTTGAAACCCTTGCTAAAAGTGTAATTGTTTTGAAAATTTGAAAAGTCAATCGGAACAAAAGAAAATTGATTGTAAGCAAAAGAAGCCCAAAGTAAATAAAACTGTGTTGTTAAATGATCGTTTCCTCATCCTCATTCTCCCTCGTCGACAACATTTCAACCATGAGAGAGGCATTTTCGACAAAATTCAATAATCTCAGTGTAAATTGTATAAATATGTCAGCCTTCATCTATATTTTAAATAATTGAATGGCTGTGCAATTTTGCACACTTGTAGTCAAGCAGAAAAGTTGTGTGTTTTGGGCTAAAAGAGAAATTGAAGGAAAAAGAACACAGAAACCAAAAAAGAACCCAGACAACAAAATAAATCAAAGAAGAAAAAGAAAAGGAAATTTTCACGTTGTCTTGAGAAAAAGGCTCAAAGAACAAGCGATAAGTTGAAAAGAAATAAGTCAAAGATCGGAGAGTTTCGAAATTTTCCAAGAATAATCTTCGAATTGGCGCGAGCTTACAAAAATGAATCAAACAGCACTTTGGATTTTGGCTCTTCTCCATTACGAGTTTTGAACAGTCATCGCGTTTGAAAGTGAAAATTCATAAATTTGTTTAGAGATAATATTGTTCTTAACTTTCTATAGTTGCTATAGTTTAATAGAGGACACTTCTTTCAGATGATATGAAAACGAATTTGTTTGAACCAGACAATTCTAAGAAAATCAAGGGACAGAACGAAATCAAGTCAAATCGAACTGTTCTCTCTGTTTTTGGCTGCTTGTTTAACACTGGGAAAACAGAGGTTTGTGTTTTCTCGAGGATTTGGAATTTATACCAAAAAATACAGCCAAAATTAAAAAGGCAAATTGGGTTTTGGATTTGGGCATAGTGAGTCTGATATTGCTAGTCTGAAGTAAAGAAAATGGAATATTATTTCACTGCTCACCTCAGCCCAAAAGTACTCTGAAGAAATGTTGTAATTCCATCCGCAATAAACGTGGCCCATGCTTAAGTAAACCTTGTAGTTGATAGCTTTAAACATTCAACTTTAAATTGAGTGATTGATAAAGTATACTAGATTCGATTTAGAATACCATAATTTAGCCCTATTCGCACCCACTGACAGAGATCAAAGGGAGACATTAATAACCGGAAAGTGAGAAAATTGATTGCTAAAGCAAGATTTATAGCTT